GTTCATTATTGCTATTATTTCAGTAATTATCAAAATTATCATTATGATCATAATTTTATTATCACTATTATTATTGTCATTATCATCATAATTATGATCATTATTATTAATAACAAAGGAATTATCATGAAAATTATCATAATTACCTGAATTAAAATCATGATTATCATTGAAAAGCGAGAAAGGTTTTTTTTTCGACCTTTCTCTCAAAGGCTGTAATACGCTAGATTTTCCCGCTTTTTTATATTTGGGATTTTATTAGTTTTAGCCTTTATTGCATTATAAATAGACTATTATTATTATCATTATCATCATTATTGTCATTATTCTTATGATTATCATTATAGTCATTATAGTCATGATTATATTTATTATCTTTATTATTATTGGAATTATAATGATTATTATGCTAATTATTACTGTCACTTATATCATTATTACTAATATTATAATGATAACAACAATAATGATAATTTTAGAAATAATGATGACATTAATAATCATTATAATAACAATCTATTCTCATTATTAGTATGAGAGTTAATTATTGCTATTATTGCAGTAATTATCAAAATTATCATTATAATTATTTTTTATCATTATGATCATTATATTATTGTCATTATCATCATAATTATCATCATTATTGTTAATAATAAAGGAATTATCATGAAAATAATCATAATTACCTGAATTAATATTGAAATCATCATAATTATAATTTAAAAGCGAAAAACGTTTTTCTTCGACATTTCTCTGAAAAGGCTGTAATCCGCTAGAATTTGACGTTAGAATAGAGTTAATTATTGCTGTTATTGCAGTAATAATCAAAATTATCATTATAATTATCATTTTATTATTATCATTATTATTATTGTCAGTATCATCCAAATTATCATCATTATTGTTAATAATAAAGGAATTATTATGAAAATCATCATAATTACTTGAATTAATGTTAAAATCATCATAATTATCATTTAAAAGCGAAAAAGGATTTTTTTTCGACCTGCCTCTCATAGGGCTGTAATACGCTAGATTTTCCATTTTTCGACTTATGGGATTGTATTAGTTTTAGCCCTTATTTTATTATAAATGGACTCTATGATTATTATTATCATCATTACTGTCATTATTCTTATGATCATTATCCTTATAGTCATTATTCTAATGATTATCATCATTTTCATTATCATTATTGCAGTTATAATGATTATTATGCTATTAATTTCTTTCATTTTCATCATTATAACCATTTTAAAATGATAGTAACAGTAATTATAATTTTAGAAATAATAATGACAATACTCATTATAATAACAATAGTAATGATATTATTATTATTTCAATTGTCATTATTAGTATGAAAATTATTAGAATAGAGTTAATTATTGCTATTACTGCAGTAATTATCAAAATTATCATTATAATTATCATTTTATTATCATCATTATTATAGTCATTATAATAATAATTATCATCATTATTGGTAATAATAAAGGAATTGTCATGAAAATTATCATAATTAGCCAAATTAAGGTTAAAATCATCATAATTATAATTTAAAAGTGAGAAAGTTTTTTTTTTACCTAATATGCTAGATTTTGCCCTTTTTCGACTTTTGGGATTTTATTAGTTTTATTCTTATCATTATTAATTCTAAAATCATCATTATTGTTGTCATCATTATAAAAATAGTTATAATGGATTTAAACATTAATTCAGGTAATTATGATAATTTTCATGATAATTCCTTTATTATTAACAATAATAATAATTAAGATGATAATGACAATAATAATAATGATAATAATGATAATTTGATAATTACTGCAATAATAGCAATAATTAACTCAATTCCAATAATTTTCACACTAATAATGACAATAGAAATAATAATAATATTATATATTATTGTTATTATAATGAGTATTATTGTCATTATTATTTCTAAAATTTTCATTTTTGTTATCATAATTATAAAAATAGTTATAATGATGAAAATGACAGTAATAATTAGCATAATAATAATTATAACTGCAATAATGATAATGATAATAATGATAATCATGACGATAATGACTATAATGATGATAATCATAAGAATAATGGCAATAATGATGATAATGATAATCATATAGTCCATTTATAATAAAATAAAGGCTAAAACTAATACAATCCCAGAAGTCGAAAAAAACGGCAAAATCTAGCGTATTACGGCCCTGTGAGAGGCAGGTCGAAAAAAAACGTTTTTTGCTTTTAAATGATAATTATGATGATTTTAACATTAATTCAAGTCATTATGATGATTTTCATGATAATTCCTTTATTATTAACAATAATGATAATGATGATGATACTGACAATAATAATAATGATAATAATAGAATGATAATTATAATGATAATTTTTATAATTTCTGCTTTAAAAGCAATAATTAACTCTATTCTAATTATTTTCATACTATTAATGACAATAGAAATAATAATGATATTATTAT